TTTCAGTCCTCTTTTTTTCCTAAGTTAGTCTAGCTAAAAGTTTGTCAATTTTGTTTATCTTTTTCAAAAACCCTCAGTCACACAGCTGCAAAAGCCCAGGCTGGCTGTGAGCATAGCTCCTGGGCTCTGGTGGAGAGGGAGGACCCAAGTGGCTGATGTTTTACATTTGCACTGCCACAGAGACCTTGGATGGCTACCGGTGTGGGTGCAAGCCCTAGCAGGTGGTGGGGGTATGAAGGGAGCAGGGAAGGACTGAGGCATAATTGATGTTGGTGAACATAAATACCTGTAGGGCAGCTGGCAAGATCTGCACAGCCAGCCCATGACTTGGTCTATGGTGGGAGCTGCCAAATTTGTCTGCAGGGAAGGTCTCCCTGAACCACAATCACTCCCACTGTGTGTTTGCTAATAATAGTCTCTGCTCTTCTTTCTTTTTCCCTATCCAGCTCTCTTTGCTTATCTAGGCAGGATAAAACTGAGCTAGACCTTCACACTGTGCTGGGAAAGGCTAAAGAAGCTAGTCACTTGCCCCTCTCTTCCTTTCCTGGTGAGAGGAACTTTCACTAGCTGGGAAGTTCTTTCTTGGAGCTGAACAATGCCAGCTTGGGTCATGAGATGAGCCAGGCAAAATCAAGCCGCCTTCTTTTTCTTTTTGTGCATTTATCCTCAGATATTTTGTCCCATGGTGTTCCTAAAATGTCCTAAGTGGAATCTAAAGGTCTCCTGGAGCTGTGTTTGTTTGTGGGTAGCTGTCTTGTCATCGAATTTTGTGGGAGGACAGGGAAGCTGGGATTTCTTACATTGCCATTTCCCTGAATGCCTTGGTTATTTTAAAGTGATTGCCTGCTAATTCCAGCTTCTGAACATTTCAGATCTACTTTTATTGACTGTTTTCTCCATAACTAAGAGTTACATTGTCCTGTTTTTTCACACATCTGGTAATTTTTAAAATTGTATGTTGGGCATCATTATTATGTTGTACAGACTCTGAATTGTGTTAGCTCATTTGAAGCAATGTTGCTTTTCTGTTCTAGCAGTTGAGTAGTTATTCACAGATCACCTTGATCCTGCAGCAGCTCAGTTTTAGACTTTATCAGGGTGGGGCTATGTTGGCTTTGCCCTTAGTCCTAAAGTCTCTTAGTTCTCAGAGTCTTTACTTCTAAGTTACAGCCTCTCTTCAACTTTTTTGCAAAGCAAAAGATATTTACCAAGCCCCTCTCATGTAGAGGGATTCTAACTCCATGCTCTTATACCTCTTTGGTGGGCAGTAGATTAAACCTCTGCTTAGCTCTCTTATCCTTCCGCTGTTAATATTGCCTCTGGGCTCCACAGAGCCTCATTCCAGCGTTCATAGTTAAGTATTTAGGCTAAGATTAGAAAGGAATTCATATGTGGGTTTTTGGAGCTTCTCTTCCGTGATTTTGTTCTCAGAATTTTCCTCCTCAATGTCCCAGGATCTCTGGAAAGAACTCCTAGGGTCTCTTTTTGTTTCAAGGATCAAATCTTTACTGGCTTATGTCTACTTTGGGGCACTCTTGGATTCCTCTAATTTTTTTCCTTTTCTTATGTTGTATCCATATTTTTTGTTTTTTTTTCTGGAATGATTAGTTCAATGCAAGCTTCACTGATATCTACATTGGAATGTCTTGAGTAGTCTTTATTCATGTATTTGACAAGTGTTTGTTGAACCCCTACATGTGCCTTGTACTGGGCTAGACATTGGAGATAAAATGGTAAAATTAAAAACATAAGGGGAGTGAAAGAAGAAAAAAAGGTTATAATTTCCATCTTTGTGAAACCTACAGTCTACTGAAAGAGACACAGGGAAATAACCAAGTAAATGTAAAATGAGAGCATGTGGTTATGAGAGCCTATAATAGAGCAATGTGAACTGATCAAGGAGAATCCAGGAATATGTCCCTGGGGAAGTAATAATGGAGCTGCCATCTAAATCTGCTGCTGGCACCTGGGAAGTAGTCACGCGGTTACAGAAGCTGAGTCCCCTTCACTTGCTGAGACCATGGCCACCACCTTGAAATCAGTTGAGCAGTAAACCGTGCACTGCTGTGTCAGACCCAGCAAAGGAATCCAGTGATATGTTGGATATCGTGGTGCAAGGCTGTATCCTGGATATAAGCTGTTTGGGAAAGCATCCTCTATGATAGAGCCCTGGACCAGGAGAGCTGTGATTGGAGTTGGGAGGGAGAAAGGGGGTACCACCAAACACATCACTCCATGCAGGGACATGTGTGAAAGTAAATGGCCACTTGTAGCACTTTTAAATAATTGTGAATAGATTTAAATGATATAGATGGGATAGAATCTGAGAACTGCTTTTTCTGCTGAATTATAAAAAGAAACAGGAGAAGAAGAAAAAAAATTTCCTATATAGATTAAAAATTCTGTTGGCAACAGCAGAACTGTGAGACATGCAGGATTTTGTTTCTGTAGTGGAACCCTGTGAGTCCACCGGCAGGGGTTCATGTTGAGATCACCTGGGGAGTGATCTCCCCGGGAGATCTCCCCGGGAGGCCATGGGGTGAGGCTTGGGGAGCTGGAAGTGCGCACTCCCCCCGCAAAGCTTGGAAAGGTGAGGGCGCTTGTTCACTCCTTCAGTCTTGTCATGGCAACTGCTTAATTCTCTTTTATGAAGATTTATTCTGAGTCCTGTCAGCCTTATGGTAACGTTTTCTCAACTTAATTTATGATTATTGCATAATTATACATGGGTGACACAGATACTTAGTCCCTCTTTTTCTTTCTGTGCAGTGGTAGATATTCTGCTTGAAATTCCTGGTCTCAGCAGCCGACCCTGGAAGTAACTTGCCTTTTGTAAATCTTCCTAGTCTAGTGGGAACATGAAAAATATCTCTAAGAAGGCATTCATTCTTTTAGTATCAATGAGATTTTAGTTAACAGAGGTTCTTATTCCATGAAGAATATTTAAGAAAACAGAATAGTAGGGGGAAAAACATAAAATCTGCATAGCCTATTACCTAAAGCTCACTGCTGCTAACATCCAAGGTTAAGTGCTTAGTACCTGTTAACAGAAGCATCTGGACAGAAATCAGGACTGACTGTGGGTCCCAGCATGGCTGGGTAGATAAGGCAAGAAAAGATGAGGTGGAGAGGTTTGCTGTGGTCAAATCACATATAGCCTTTTAAGGCACATGAAAGATTTTAGAACTTGTTCTTAAATGAAAAGCCATTGAAGATTTCTAAACAAGGAATATTCTCTAATCATATTCACATCTTAAAAACTGCCCTGACTGCACTGTAGAGAATGCATCTGAATGTGGTAAGGGTGCATGGGGAGAGGCTGTCAGGAGGCTCTTGATGTCATCCTGATGATAGTCAACAATGGCCAGGAGGAAGATGGTAGTTCCGGACAAGGAGAGAAGTTCACAGGCTCAGGAGATATTCAGGAAGAGCAACTGAATGTGCGTGGTGATTGACTGGACACGGGATTCGCTCCAGGCTTTTCTTTCTTACATATAGGTTTCTCCTTATCTTAATAGTATTATCTTCTGTACACAAATACTATACGCTGATTATTTTTACTTAACATTATTATTATATGCTGCTACTGAATGCTGTGTGATAATTCATTGGGCTTATGCACCATCACTTAATCCCCTGCTCCCCACTGTGTATGCTGAGGTTGTTCTCTGGGTTTCGCTAATGCATGTAATTCTGTGATTGATATCTTTGGGCATAAAGGACTTTCTTTATATCTGATTATTTATTAAGAATAAATTCCCACCAAAGGATTCATCGGGCTAAGATATACGATCATATTACGATTTGTATGGCCATAATTACATCATTTCTTTGGGGAAACCCTCTCATGTCAGGTTGATTACATTGAAGATCCTTTCATCATGGAATGGATAGTCGTTTGTCTTCCCTGCAGTAGACACAATTTCTGGATATAGATTTGTCTTTCTTGCCCACAGTGTACTGTCAGAACCACCATCCGTGGACTAAGAGAACATTTTATTTGCTGTCCTGGAAGAGTACACAACATAGCTTATGAACACAGAACTCATTTTATAGCAAAAGAGCTTACACTCATGGAATTCAGTGGTCTTATGTGTCCCATTCTCCCCAAAGCATCCAGTATGCTAGAATGATGGAATGGTGTACTGAAGAGTCAGTTATAGTTGCCTAATAGGAAACAACACCCCGAAAGCTTGGGGTTATATCTTAAAATATGTGGTATATGCTTTCAGTAAGCAACTGATATACAATTATTTCTCCCACAGCCAGAATATATGTGTCTGAGAATCAAAAGTGGGAACAACTCCTCTCATTATTATACCCATTCACAGAATATTTGCTCCCTGTCCCCTTTGAGCTCTTCTGATTTGAAAGTTTTAGTCCCCAATGGAGAAATATTTATGCGAGGGGACACAGCGTTCCACTGAATCAGCAGTCTCGATGGCCATCTGCCCATTTCAGGCTTGTTCCACCACTAATCCAACAGAGGGAAAAGTTACTGTACTGTCCTAACTACATGTTAGTTCCTGATTGTCAAGAGGAAATGTGAGTTGCTGCTACATAATGGGTCAGAAAGCACTATGTCTAGAACCTTGAGGATTCTCTTGGGCAAGTTTTAGTATTCCCGTGTGCAGTACTAGAAGCTAATAGAAAACTGCAGCAACCAAAAAAGGCGAAACAACTAAGGATTTAGACCATACAGGAATGAAGATTGGGTTATCCACCTGCTAAAGAATGATGATTAGTGTAGATAACCGGTAAGGGGAAAGTTGTCAACAGCAACCATGGCCTTATGACCAGCTACAGAAATAAAGATGAGCGTGCATACACACACACACAGCATTTAAAAAAATTTTATTGGGGCTTCCCTGGTGGCGCAGCGGTTGAGAGTCTGCCTACCGATGCAGGGAACACGGGTTCGTGCCCCGGTCCGGGAAGATCCCACATGCCGCGGAGCAGCTGGGCCCGTGAGCCATGGCCGCTGAGCCTGCGCGTCCAGAGCCCGTGCTCCACAACGGGAGAGGCCACAACAGTGAGAGGCCCGTGTACTGCAAAAAAAAAAAAATTATTGAAGTATAGTTGATTTACAATGTTAATTTCTACTGTATAGCAAAGTGATTCAGTTATACATGTATATACATTCTTTTTCATATTCTTTTCCATTATGGTTTATCACAGGATATTGAATATAGTTCCCTGTGCTATACACTAGGACTCTGTTCTTTATCCATTTCATATATAAAAGTTTGCATCTGCTAATCCCAAACTCCCAATCCATCACACCCCCCCTCTCCCCGGGCAACCACAAGTCTATTCTCTATGTCCATGATTCTGTTTCCGTTTTGTGGATAGGTTTATTTGTGTCATATTTTAGATTCCACGTATAAGTGATATCATATGGTATTTGTCTTTCTCTTTCTGACTTCACTTAGTATGATAATCTCTATATCCACTCAAATGGCATTATTTCATTTTTTATGAATGAGTACTATTCCATTGTATATGTGTACCACATCTTCTTTATCCATTCATCTGTCAGTGGACATTTAGGTTGTTTCCATGTCTTGGCTATTGTAAATAGTGCTGCTATGAGGTACATGTATCTTTTTGAATTATAGTTTTGTCCGGATATATACCCAGGAATGGGATTGCAGGATCATATGGCAACTCTATTTTTAGTTTTTTAGGAACCTCCATACTGTTCTCCATAGTGGCTGCACCAATTTACATTCCCACCAGCAGTGTAGGAGGGTTCCCTTTTCTCCACACCCTCTCCAGCATTTGTTATTTGTAGATTTTTTAATGATGGCCATTCTGACTGGACATACTCCCTTTTATTCTTTTTCATTTATCCTCCTCCTTTCTGCTTATTTTATATAAGACAAATTGGCAGTGTTCGAGAGCATAAGTGGTATCCAGTACAGTTGTTATATATTTTTTTAAATGGTTTCATCATGTATACCAGGGCAAAATGAACGAAATGGAAAATTTTAGGTAGTATGTGGGCAGAACCTAAGGAGATACTGCATCCTTGAAGGACTGGCAGAGACAGAAGGAGATGCTTGTCCTTAATGACCTATGGATTTCAGATTAACATAAGAAAGAAGTTTTTAAAAGCACTACATGGGAAGGAAATGGCCCCATTGTCAATGTAATAAGTTCCCTGTCACCGGGAGCCTAAATGATACTTGACGGTGCATTAAATGCAAGATTGTGAAACCAAATAGGGTATTATTGTTGTTGTTTTACATTTAAGAAAAATAACTGTGGGAGAGTTGATGCACCTTGCCTATCCTCACACAGCTACCAGTCCATCTAATACCATTTTGCTGGTAACCCAACAGGATCATGAAGAAAGTTACTAGATTTTTTTTCTCCTTCTCTCTGAGAGTTTTGGCTCTTCTTGGGAGCCAAAGAGAGCTTTCTGGATATCAGGCAGCTTCTGTGGGCCTTATTTTAATATGTATTCAAAATGCATTATTAACTGAATAGTTAACCCAATTATTTACCCCCTTAATCTCTAAAAATTTATAGCAAACTGGCATATCATTAACACAACCCAAAGTCAATTACTGTCAGTATATTTGTGATGCTCCCCTTAACTTACCACTCTCAGCCCCACACAGCATCTCACACTCACTCGCTCGCTCACACTCCAGTTTTTTCATATGTGTGTTTGATCTTTAGAAGTGTCTCATTGTGCCTACTGATACAATTTTTAAAGTGGGAGCTGGCTACATTGTTTAGATACTTAGGTGTTTTTGTACAAATCAATGTTTTTTTCTTCCACTTTTATTGAGATATAATTGATGTACAGTACTGTGTAAGTTCAAGATGTGTAGCATGATGACCTGAGTTATATATAATGCATAATGATTAAAACAATAAGTTTAGTTAATATCCTCATCTCATACAGACATAAAAAAAGCAATTTTACCCTTGTGATAAGAACTTTAAGGATCTACCCTCTTAGCAACCTTCAAGTATACCACCAGCAGTGTAAACCAAACTCACAAAGTAGCACACTGTATCTCCAGTACTTATTATTCATAAGAATAATGAATTTTCTTGAAGTTTGTGCCTTTTGAGGAACTTCATCCAATTCCCCTACCCCTACCCCTTGCCTCTAGTAACAAGTCTGATCTCTTTTTCAGTGAGTTTGTTGTTGGGTGGGCTTTTTGTTTGTGTTTAAATTCCTCATATAAGTGAGATTAGTATTTTTCTTTCTCTCTCTGACTTAATTAACCTAATTAACTTAGCATGATGCCCTCAGTGTACACCTGTGTTGTTGCAAATGACAGCATTTCCTTTTTTTTATTGCCAAATAGTATTTTATTTTTTCAAATAGTATTTTATTGTCAGGACTAGGAATTAACTCCGCAGTCCGGGGAGAGCAGCGGAACCTGCTCCAAGGCTGGCAGTGCTTTGCGTTTGGGGTCTTGACTCAAGCCTAGCTGCACCCCAAGTTCCCTGGCCAAATAAGGCCACTGGCTTTGGTCTACAGATGGTCAGTGCTGCTGGCCAAGCTCTTACCTCCAGTGTTGCTGGGCTAAGTAGCTTCTTGGTTGCTCCAGCCAGGTTTCCTGGTTGGGACCGGCCAGGAGCTATACTCAGCAGTGGGCAAGGCTATGACTTAGCTCCCCTGCCCAGGCAGAGAGGCAGACCAGGCTCCAGAGATGGCAAGACTCTTTTTCTGAAGTGCCAAGTCAGGCAGACGTGTGCCCTCACCAGATTCCCTGATCAGACTGTACCACCATCTTGGCTCTGCAGCTGAGCACAGCCGCTGGTTGGGACTTCTACTTGGGCACTGGCAATAGGAACTCAGTCTGTCAAGATCCAGATGCTGGTTCCTGCAAGACTCTCCCCTCTTCTCCATCACAATCCAGTGGTCAAGTCCTGCAGATTCCCCCACCATCCCCATGGGGCAGAACCCTAGTGGGCCTCCCCAGAAGCAACTCACAATGTTGGGGGAGCAGGATGTCTACCAGGGCCCTCATTTTCCCCCTGGAGGAACTATGGGATCAGGGAAGTTCTCTTACCCTTCTAATGCAATCTGTCTCGGTGCTGTGGCGCAGGGGTTATACTTCTGCCTCACCCCTGTGTTCCAGGGTTTTCACAGTGGTGTCTTTTTCATAAATAGTTGTGTTAGTTGTTCTTCTTGTGAGGGGGAGCAAAGTCAGGAATGACCTGTGTCGCCACCTTGGTTACATCACTCCTCCCACACCAATGTTTCTAGTTCTCTTATCTATCCAGAGACATGGAAGGATTATACTGCCCTCTACCTTTGAGGTTCACCATAGCCATGTGACTCGCTTTATCTGATGAAATGTGACCATGAATTATCTGAGTCACCCTGAAGCCCCGGAATACTGAGATGTTGATGTCATAAGATGGTAGCATCTCCGTCAGGTTGGATCCTTGTGGGACTGCAGAGAGCAGAGCCCCCCCTCCCAGACTCAACTGGACACGCAGCTTGCACAAGAAACAATCCTTCGTTGTTTTAAGCCGCTGAGAAGCAGGATTTGAATATTAATGCAGCAGAACCTAATCTATCCTTACGGATACACGTGCCTGCCAAGCCGTATATTAGAGATTGAATCTGCAAAAATCTCTGTGAGATAGACATGATTATTTCCATTTCACAAGTGAGAAAACTGAGGTTCAGTCACTAACATGCCCTAAATCACACAGTGACTTAGAGCTGAAGGGGTTGAAAGAGACAGTGATCCACGTTTCTGAGGAAGATAAGGCTTTGGGTTTGACACTGGACAGAGTCATGGTTTCTCCAAAGGAAAACCTTTTCATAGGCTTTGGTCCCTTTCCTTAACTGCCTTAATCTTGAGAAAGATAGGACATCTCCAAGATTGAGTTCTCAGCTGAGGTCAAATGAGAATGAGGACGGTGGAGGCAGAGGGCTGTGAAGGAACTGTCTTTTAAAATAAGAAACCCTACATACAAAAGAAAGGTTTTCTCTGGAAATCGAGGCCCACAGAAGGCTGCAAGTATATCCGAGTGGACTGCAGCTGTCTGAAACAATAGCTGTTTGAATTGTAGGTGATAAAACAGCATCATAGTAGTGGATGAGGTCATGTGGATAAGTGTGCAACAGGAGAAAATAAAAGACAAAGGAAAAGGAAGGAATTCAAGGTATCAATTCTGGTGAATTAGGTGTGGAAAAGCCACATCATACTATTGTAGGTTACAACCCAGGTGTTAACTGCACATCATCTAAATTGTCCAATGCAAAATCCATGGAGGAATGGCAAATTTTTTTATTGTAGTAAGTTTATAAGCTTTCAAAATGACTGGCCTATTAAAACCGTTTCCTTACTTGACCTGCTGTGATCGACACAAGATGATGGAAGTGCTTGCTTCTATACATAGAAAGCAAGAAAGGGAAGATGTCCAAGTTCATCTTCTTAAAATGTTGTCCAATCTCTAAAAGCAAACCAACAAACCAATTATCACTTTACCTGGAATGTTCTCCAACAGATGATGGAGACGTATGGTCCCTAAACACAATCACTGTCTAAAAGTGAACTATATAAACTTGTTGTTTTATGCATTAGGAAAACTTGAACATTTTAAAGGAGGCAAAATGATGTGCTTGGGGTCAAAGCTTGAGGTGGGGCAGCACAAGGAAGCCCTCTGCTCCCCCTTGACCTGCAGATACTCATTGCAATGGTCTTGTCAGATGTGCAACATTCAGGTACTCAGATGCCCTCTTCTTCTCTTTCCTTAACTTCCTTGATCTGCAGGCTGACCATTGTCTTTTACTTCACTGCAACAGCCCCCAAACTGGTCTTCCTGCCTCTAGTCTCCCCCTTGCAATCCCGTCTCCAATAGATGACTGAATGACTTTTCAAAATAATTAGATCACATCAGTACCCTGCTTTTAAGGTCTTCCATGGTTCCCTATAACCCTCAAGTGAAATCAAAACACCTCTTAGCTGAGAAGGCCCTTCCCAGTCAGGCATCTCTCTACCTATTTTTCTCCTAGTCCCTAGAATGTGCTCATAAACACCCTTCCCTTCAGTTCTGTGGAACCACGTGCAGTTTCCTTGTTCTGTATTCTCACTCACCCTTTGTTTCCTTCCAAACTCCCATTTATGCTTCAAAATCCAAACTAGGCATTTCTTTCTCCAAGAAGCCTCCCTAGATACATGCCCCCCTTAGCTTTTTTGAGATGCATTTGATACTTTGTTTCAATCCTCTTTTGATTTGACCCTCACCACCAATAAATTTCAAAGTCACTGAGATCAGGGAGTCAGTCTCATTCATTTTTTATCATGAGACATAATATATGCCAGTCATGTCAATATAGGAAGGGAGGGAGGGAGGAAAAAAGGGAGGAAGGAAAGAACAAAAAAGGGAAGAAAAAAGAAAACAATGTACCCACTCCCATGTTCCCTTTCTCTTGGTCCAGTCTTTTCTCCCATTTTATGGCTGTTTTGGCAATGTCTATAAGTAAAATGTGACCATGTAGATATTTTGATAGTTAGTAAAAATGATATTCCTATATCATTTTCTTCTAGTTCAAGAAGAATAGTTAATATAGAAGTAATAGAATTTCTACAGTGAGGAGTTCTTGCAGAAGTATTGCAGTCTCAAAACCTGGTGTTTGAGGTTGGGCACTGCAGCAAGATAACCGTAAAAAGATGACCATAAGATCGTTTGTTATAGGGTTATACAATCTTTAAATAGCCTCCATGGGTACTGTCTTACCTGGTATTCAGAAACACTCAGAATGCTTGCTAGGCGGACATTACTGCTTCCATCTTACAGAAGAGGAAGTGGGAGAGACAACGTGATTCTTCAAGGTCACCTTGCAAGTCATTGGCAGAGCAGGAGACTGTATGCAAACCTCTGAACTTCACATCATTAAACTTCACTTTCCACACACCCTGCTGAGTCACTTTGCTTTAAATAAAAAGGCAAGGATATTTCCTTGCTTCAACTGCTGCCCTTTGTTTGGGGTTTTATATTCAGCTTTCTATGCAAGTTGTTACAACTCAGCACTTACCCACTAATTTTCTCCAAGGGAAAGAATAACAATCGTTTCCTTGGGCTTATACTCTTTTCCCTAAGATCTCAAAATTACTATTTCCCAAAGATTTTCCCTGAAGTTTAGAGGGTATAAAACAAGAATGTATCAAAGAGGAAAAAAAAAGCCATTGGTCCTAGGAAGCCAAGGACTCTTTATAACCAAAAACCAATTTCAAATGAAGATTTGATCCCTAACTTAAATTTATGGAGGAATTTTTGCGTTAGTATGGGGAATTTATGCTAAAATATTTATTTCTTTAAGTGTCCCCTGGGCCTTTTTTCTTTCATTTGTTCAGTCAGTCATTCAGTGAACATTAAGCTCCCCCCCGCACCGCACCGTACCAGGCATTTTTTGTACATAAGGACTTTTTTGTTATTTCTAAGCTTAAAATCCCAGATCTGGGGAGCATCTTAAATCTAGTGGCATCTCTCTTCCCTCTTCTTTGTGAATTTCATTCTCAAATTTTCTCTACATTTCCATGCCAAGAGACTCTTCTGCCCAGGTTAGAATTGCTCTGCTGATGAGAATCTCATTACTTCTGGAGCTTCCTGAAGTTCAATAGGTTGCTACTTCCACTTGGTCAGTTTTCGAAGTAGACAATTCTCTCACCCTCAGGGAAGGACAGAAACACAGAGAAGCCAACTCATTAGGAGACTTTGTACAGCTTCCCTACGGTATTGCACTGGACTAGCAGACTCCAGCCTGTTTTAAGACAAAAGAGACCCAACTGTAATTAAATAGTCACAGAAATCCCTTGTGGGTTTCTGCCTTTGCACATTCAGAAGGACACTAATTAGGTGGGGAGCCCTTGTATGCGAGCTCCCCAGGCACAGAGGGGGGCTGCTTGGGGAGGATTCTTCCCTGACCAGCAGTAGTGTTTGGACCCCTCATTGACTCTCTAAATTGTGTTTGCCCCATTACTAAAGCCCTAACGGTGGGGGCCGGCAGACCGCCTGCCTTTCTCCATCCAGGGGACTCTGCTGTCCCCCAGTGTGGGCTGCTGAGCATGAATGAGCCCTTTGTCTTCATCTCAAATGTTATGGCAGTGCTTCTGAAAACAGTGGTGAATGCTAAACCACATGGTTCTAATTGTTTTCTCTGGGATCAGACCGATTTTCTTAGGGCATCCACTGCCACCACTATGCGCGCGCACACGCGCACACGCACACACACGCACGCACACACACACACACACACACGGTGCTTTGAGATCAACACTGTCCTTAGACTTCCAGCTAATACCGCGAATTGTGAATTTTTTTTAGAGAAGTACTGACATACACACAATTTTTTTTTCAGGGAGAATATCTTCTCTACCCAAGTTTAGTTATCAGCCAGGTGAAAACAACAGGGTGTGATTTCCTTTCCAATTAAAAGGAAGACAAGCCACCTGTTTATATCAAGGAAGCTAGGAAAACCTTCAGAAGAGTGTTGCCATTTCTTGAATGAAGGAACAAATGAGTAACAACAACTGAATGTAGAAGAAAGGAAGGGGAGAAGGTGCAGGAAAGTGTTCATCCCAAAACTGTGCTGCTACGACTGGATGTTTATCTGGCCCCTGTCACTGGGTCAGGGTATCTCAGCTACTGACATTTGAGGCTGGGTAATTCTTTGTGCTACGTGCTGTTCTGTGCATCTCTGCCTCTACCTACGAGATGCCAGTAGGAACCCCACACCCCCAGCTGTGACAATCTAGTATGTCTCAGATCTTGTCAAATGTCCACTGGGTGGGAGGGCTGAGGGCACAGAAATCATCCCCGGTTGAAAAATCACTGAATGAGATGAATCAAAAGGATAAGAGTTGCAGAAACGTCAAATGAGAGTGGGCTCTAGAGTTGGCAGCCGGATAAGAATCCCAGCTTTGTCTGTTCCTAACTCTTGCGCATCCTCCCTGAACCTACCTTATAAAGTCATGAGGATTAAATGAGAAACTACACATAAGGTGCTTAGCACAATGTCAGGTACACAGTGAACGCACGATAAGTGTGGACTGGTGTCAATACCATCCTCATGATTATTTCTGCCATTCCCAGGATGACAGACCTCTTTGCCTGAGAGTAAGATGCTCTATTTCTGCATCTGCTGGGCTCATTTAGAGCTGTTCATGTCAACCGTCAATTCTGGAGTTTCCTGCCTTCCTATTTTCAGACTTAGGAACAGCAGGGAGTGAGGACTCTGGTATCACCCGTGACCCCTTGGCCCCCCTCCTGGGGTCTGCATAAGCCAGGGGCTGAGAAAGAAAGATATTTCCCACAGAAGAGATGGCTGCTGACATTTTAAGAAGCACACTTGGCAGGCCTTAGGACCAGCCAGGGTCATAGGTCAGATTCCTGGTTCTCACAGTTTCCTTCCTCCAAAAGGAAAAGCCCCATGGCGCTAATGGGATACCTTCAGCCTCTGGTTACAGCCTGAGAAGGATGAGGTGTCCCAGCAGCCCGGTTGCTACAAAGATCCCCCCACATCACACAGATGCTCCCACCAACAGTCCCGTCCTCAGCATGGCCCAAACTCTGCTCCCCAGACCCGCCTCCTGTCCAGCCCTCAGCTGCTCTGTCTCCTTTCTACGGGCTTCTCACCATCCTCACCTTGTGTTCTAGGAAGTCTCTCTGCTGCTTCCGAGATGGGAGACTTGCAGCAGCCTCCTCACCATCCCCCACCTCCAGGGCATCCTCCAAACCACCAACCAGTGTGCAACTATGATCGTCACCCCATCCTTAAAAATCTTCCATGGCTCTGCGTTTATTTTGGCCTGAAGTCCTCAGCTTGAAATATAAGCTCCTGAATGTCCTTTGCCCTTGCCCACCTCCCCTCATCTTGCAAGAAGTATCCACCCTCGCCATCCCCACTCACCGTCTGCTCCCTGGGCAAACAACGCCGTGCGAGTCCCTGAAAAGGTCCTACTCCTTTTCAGAACTGGTTCATCCTCTCAGCCCTATATACAAGATGCTTAGGGCCAGTGATGTCAAGAGCCTGCAAAAGTGTTTGAGGTCTGGAAAATATAGATGTATTAGATTATATATGTGAAAAGAAAACAAATCAAAATGAATAAACATTTAATTAAACATCCACAAAACAATACATTGTAACTAGTCAAATATAACTCACCTTACACAATTCTGTATAAATAGAACAGATGAAATTACATAAATAATCTTCTTTTGCCAAAAGTGAAAATTGAAAGTACAACGTGAGCTGTGTGGGTGTATTTATGTTTGATAAAAATGAGGTGGGGCTCCCATCATCAGAAGAGACATGAATGTGAAAAGGTGTAAAAATGTCTCTTTGAACCCTAGATCTTTGCATGTATTCTATTTTTTCCCCAGGATTTTTGAGATATAACTGACAAGCAAGGTGGTATAAGTTTAAGGTGTACAGCAAAATGACTTGACATGTACATATTGTGGAATGATCACCAGAGTAAGTTTAGTTAACGTTTATCACTTTATATAGTTACAAATTTTTCTCCTTGTGATGAGAACTTCTGGGATTTACTCTTAATAACTTTCAAATATACCATACAGCATCGTTAACTATATTCATCATATTGTACATTACATCACCAGCATTTATAAATGGAAGTTTGTATGTTTTGAATACCTTCACCCAATTCCCCCTGCCTCTGGAAACCACAAATCTGATCTCATTCTATTAATTTGAGGTTTTTTTTAGATTCTACACATGAGTGAGATGATACAGTATTTGTCTTTCTCTGACTTATATCACTCAGCATAATGCCCTGAAGGTCCAACCATGTTGTCACAAATGGCAAGATTTCCTTCTTTTTTATGGAAATAAATAGTATTTTGTTGTACGTACATATGTGTGTATGTATGTATATATACATATGCACACACATCTCATGTACTTTATCCACTCATCTGTGGGTTGACACTTAGGATGTTTCCAAGCCTTGGCTATTGTAAATAATGCTGCAATGAACATAGAGGTACAGATATCTTTGACATAGTTATTTCATTTTCTTTGGACATATCCCAGAAGTGGGATTGCTAGGTCATACAGCATTTCCATTTTTAATTTTTTGAAGAACCTCATACAGTTTTCCATGGAGGCATTGCCAATTCACATCCCCACCTACAGTGCACAAGGGTTCCCTTTTCTCCACAACCTTACCAGGATTTGTTTCTCCACAACCTTACCAGCATTTGTTATCCCTTGTATTTTTGATGGAAGCCATTCTAACAGGCATGAAGTGATGTCTCATTGTGGTTCTGATTCACATTTCCCTAATGATTAGTGATGCTGAGCACCTTTTTATGTATCTGTTAGCCATTTGAATATTTTCGTTAGAAAAATGTTTCCATTTTTAAATTGGATTGTTTGGGTATGGTTTTTTTTCTGTTGAGTTTTTTGAGTTTCATATCTGTATTGGACACTAACCTGTTATCAGATATATTAATTCCAAATACTTCCTCCTTTCCTTAGGTTGCCTTTTCATCTTGTTGATCATTTCTCTTGCTGTGCGGGGGCTTTTTAGTTCCATATAACCCAACTTGTGTTTTATTTTGCTGCTTGCACTTTAGGTATCATATGCTAAAATCATTGCCAGGATCCATGTCAATAAGCTTTTCCCCTATGTTTTCTTCTAGCAGTTTTATGGTTTTATGTCTTACATTTAAGTCTTTAATCCATTCTGAGTTAATTTTTGTGAGCGGTGGAAGATAGGGGTCTAGTTTCATTCTTCTACATGAGAATATCCAATTTTTTCCCAGTACTATTTATTGAAAAGACTGCCTTTTCTCCATTGAGTAATTAGTAGTCAAATAGTAATTAACTGTATGTGCGTGGGTTTATTTCTAGGTTCTTGATTCTGTTCCATTGGTCTAAGTGTCTATTTTTCATGCCAGTACCATTCCGTTTTGATAGCTTTGTAAGGTAGCATGAAATCGGAACGTGTGATGCCTCTAGCATTGACTTCTCCTAATGATTGATGTGGCTATGTGGGGTCTTTAGCATTGACTTCTCCTAATGATTGATGTGGCTATGTGGGGTCTTTTACGGATCCATATTTTTTCTACTTCTGTAAAAATTACCATCAGAACATTGATAGGATTTGCATTGAATCAAAAGAGGGCTTTGAACAGTATGGATATTTTAACAATATTAATTTTTCCAGTCCATAAACATACAATATCACTTATTTGTGTTAACTTCAATTTCTTTCATCAGTGTCTGATAGTTTTCATCGTAGAGTTATTTCACCTCCTTAAATGTATCCCTAAGTATTTTATTGTTTTAGATGCTATTGTGAATGGGATTGTTTTCTTTATTTCTCTTTTGGGTAATTCGTTGTTAACGTATAGAAATGCTACTGATTTCTGTAAGTTGATTGTGTATCCTGCAACTTTACTGATTTTGTTGATTAGATCTAATGGCGTTTTGGTAGTCTTTAGGATTTTCTGTATGTAGGATTTTCTGTATATAAAATCAAGTATCTGCAAATAGAGACAATTTACTTCTTCCTTCTCAATTCTATGCCTTTCTTCCTTCCTTCCTTCCCTCCCTTCCTTCCCTCCTTCCCTTTCTTCCCTTCCTTTCCTTCCTTCCTTTGACTGATTGCTCTGGCTAGGACTTCCACTACTATGGTGAATAGGAGTGGTGATAGTAGGCACCTTTGTCTTGTTTCTGATTTTAGAGGAAAAGTTTTCAGCCTTTCACCATTGAGTATGACGTTAGCTGTGGGCTTGTTATATATGACCTTTACTACATTGAAGAACATTCCTTCTATACCTAATTTGTTGAAAGTTTTCATCATAAAAGGTTGTATTTTGTCAAATGCTTTTTACGAGTCTATTTAGGTGATCATGTGATTTTTATCTTTCATTCTATTAATGTGATGTATCACATATTCATTTGTGTATGTTGAACCATCCTCGTATCTCAGGTTTGAATCCCACTTGATAATGGTATATGATCCTTTTAAATGTGCTGCTGAATTTGGTTTGCTAGTATTTTGTTGAATTTTTGCATCTATGTTCATCAGAGATATTGGTCTGTCTGTAGTTTTCTTGTAGTGTCCTCATCTAGCTTTAGTATCAGGGTAATACTGGCCTTGTAAACTGAGTTTGGGAGTGTTCCTTTCTCTTTAACTTTTTGGAAGATTTTGAGAAGGATTGGTATTAATTCTTCTTTAAATGTTTAGTAAAATTCATCAGGGAAGCCACCTAGCCCTGGGCTTTTATTTGTTGACAGTTTTTGTTTGTTTGTTTGCTTTGTTTTGTTTTTGTTACTGATCCAGTCTCCTTACTAGTAATTGGTCTGTTTAGACTTGCTGTTATTTCTGATTCAGTCTTGGTAGGCTCTAATTTCTAGAAATGTATCTAGCTTTTCTAGGTTGTCCAGTAGGTTGGCATACATATGTTCATAGTAGCCTCTTATGATCTTTTCTATTTCTGAGGTATCAGTTGTAATGTCTCCTCTTTCATTTATAATTCTGTAAATTTTGGTTCTCCTTTTTCCTCATACGTCTATCTAAAGGTTTGCCAATTTTGTGTATCTTTTCAAGGAACCAACTCTTAGTTTTTTAAATCTTTTCTATTCCTTTCCTGTTCTCTAGTTTATTTCTGTTCTAATCTTTATTATTCCCTTCCTTCTGCTAACTTTGGGCTCACTTTGTTCTTTTTCTAGTGCTTTGAGGTGTAAAGTTAGGTTGTTTATTTGATATCTTTCTATTTAGTTCATATATGCATTTATAAATGCATATAAATGTCTCTTAGAATGCATATAAATGTCTCTTTATAAATGTCTCTTAGAACTATTATTTATGCATCCCATGGGTTTTGATTTTTTTCCATTTTTGTTTCTCTTAAGATACTTTTAAATTTCCCTTTTATTTTAATGTTTGATCCATAGGTTGTTCAGGAAGAGTGCTGTTACATGTATTTGTAAATTTTCCAATTTTCCTCCTGTTACTCCTGTTAACAATCCTCCTGTTACTGATTTCTAGTTTCATATCATTATGGTCAGAGAAGACACTCAGTATGATTTCTGTATTATTCAATTTGCTAAGACTTGTCTTGTTGTCTAACATATGATCTATCCTAGAAAATGTTTTCTGTAGGTTTGAGAAAAATGTGTATTCTTCTGATGTTAGATAGAATGTTTTTTATGTGTCTGTTAGAACCATTTTGTCTACAGTATTGTTCAAATCTGTTTCCTTATTGATTCTGTCTGGATGATGTATCCATTGTTGAGAGTTGAGTATTAACATCCACAACTGTTATTGTTTGTTCTTTTAGTTTTGTTAGTATAGCTTGATATATTTTGGTGCTCCAATGTTGGTTCCATAAATATTTATAATTACTATATCCTCTTGATGGTTTGACCCCTTTATCATTATATAATGACCTGCTTTACATTTTTTTAAACATTATTAGCTTAGAGTCTGTTTTGTCTGATATAAGCATAGCTACTCCGCTTTTTTGGTTGTTGTTACCATTTGCTTGACATACCTTTTTTGACTCCTTCACTTTCAGTCTAGGTATGTGTTTGAAGCTAGAGAAAGTCTCTTGTAGACAACATATTTTTGCATCTTGTTTTTAATTCATTCAGTCATTCTATGTCTTTTGATTGGAGAATTTAATCCATTTATATTTAAAGTAATTATTGATACATAAGGATTTACTACTGCCATTTTGCTAAACATTTTCTGTTTTTAGTTCCTTTATTCCCCTTTACCCTGCTGTTGTCTTTTGTAATTTGATGACATTTTTTTTTTGGTATGCTTTGATTTCTTTATCATGATCTTTTGTGCAACTACTACAGGCTTTTACTTTGTGGTTACCATGAGGCTTACATATAATATCTTAAATTTTAACACCTTATTTTAAACTGATAACAACTTAACTTCAATAGCACTTCTAAACTTTACATTTTTACTTCCCCCCTCCCATTTTAGTTGATTGATATTACAATTTACGTACTTTATATTGTATATCCAATAATAGATTATTGTAGTCCTGGCTATATTTA